AAACAAATTCGTGAAGAATTTTGTAAACAACATGCATCTCGATATTTTAGATGCCTCCGATAAAGTGTTGCCACCTTAGGAACATGTATTTAGTAAGCTTATCACACACCAAAACAATGTCAAGACAAAGAATGCTAAGAACAAAGAACCAAGGTTTTAAGACTTCGAAACCAAAGAAATCCCTATTCTAAGAACAAAGATCCAATTCAAGAGATTTGTAACAAAATCAATGGGCTCCATGCTCTTGAAAATTCAATTTGCATACGAGTTGTCACATAATAAAAGGTGCCCATGGACTAATGGATAAGGCATTTGACTTCTAATCACCCGATTCTGGGTTCGAGTCCAAGCTTTATCTAATGGTCAACATGGATAGAGGCCATGGCCTTAGGGAAGGGAAAGAACTTTAGAAATGAACGGAAATGGTGGAGAAAGCCCTTGAATTTAGAAGAAGAAACTCTGAACGGAAATGGTGGAGAATGCCCTTGAATTTAGAAGAAGAAACTCTGAACGGAAAAGAATTTAGAAGAAAACTTGTGATCTTGTTTAGAAACTTTAGGAACAAGTTTGTAAAGAAATGGTAGAGAAAGCCTTTGAATTTAGAAGAAACGGAAATGGTGGATAATGAAGGAAAATAGTGGAATATTGCTCTTGAATTTCGAGGAAACTCAAGAGTACTTGTAATCTTGTTTAGAAAGTTTAGGAACAAGTTTGAAGGGTAATGGTGGAGAATGAAAACTCTAATTCTTCAAAAATTGTGACAAACTCTTGTATTTGCACTGATGGTGCTCCAACTTGCCTCCAAGACACCCAAAGTCAATGGTTTGAACTCGTTGAAACCAACACATTGTGAGTTGCTTATGTATTGGGAAGAATAAATATATGACATGCCCGACTTTGAATTGGCCCCTATTTTATCTCTAATTCTATTCATGCTCGTGCTTAATTATAACCGATTTTATTTATCGTACAAACATATACGAAAAATAATACGACCAATAATGATCATATAAAAGATTGGACATATAATAAACAATAGAAAAAAATTATTGACCATTTAACTACGAATTTAAGCACAAAATCGACAACCCTAATATGACTCCGGCATTTTCAAAACTTATCTGCCAACACTAAATTCAAATTCCAACAACTACTAGTATATTGGACCAAATTCTGAATTCCCATTTTAAACTAATTAATAAACCAAGAAACAATTGTTGGAACAAGTTTGAACCGTTGGGGTTGAGGATCATCCATGCAACTTCCCGCGTCTTTAAAGCAAATGCATTTCTTCACAACAACTGAAGTACCAGATTCCTTCTCCAAGCAAAAATGGTCTTCGCCAATTGGAGATTTGCTTTCGAAGCCACCGTCCAATTTCTTCCATCACCAGAGCATTCGTCGGATACCACCGGTGCTTTTCCATCTCCGACGGATTTCAAACGCTGCCCGTAGGACAACAACTTCATCGGACTTGCATCTGCACTATGGTTCCATTGGTTCGGAGTGGCACAATCGCCGAGTTAAACTTCTCCTTTATCCTCGGATTTGACACATTGCCCTGATACGGGATGTAGCATTATGTATGGTATTGGTGCTTTAGAATTTGGATCCGCAAGAAACGAGCTTTAGTTTCAAATTCTAACTAAAGAAATATATAAATGTTTGATTTGTTATAAGTGAGGGTTAGATTGAGAAGCAACCAATTAACCTTGATTCACTCTCTCCATTAAGTGGAAGCATTTGTTTAAGTGTTGGGGGTACTATCTTTAGTCCATGAGTGATCCATAACACCAAAACTTTCATCTAATTATCTTCATAATCATTTAAAACTCACCATTCTTCCTTCTCAGACGGTGGCATACTCGTTGTGGCTAGTTTCTTCGTGCGGAATCCTAATGTCGCATCGCTCAAATACTCAAAAGCCACGACGGTGATTTACTACCACGGCGAGGTGATTGGAGAGGGGGAGACGCCGGCGGATTGACGAAGGCAAAGGACACGATGGCGACGAATGTGACGGTGGAGATCGAGGCGGAGGAAATGGATGAGGGTCTGAGTTTGATGGAGGATTTGAAGTCGGGAGGTTTGAATATCAGTAGGCACACGAAAATGCCAGGAAGGGTCAAAATAGTTGGTTTCATCAAGAAAAGGTTTGAGGTAAAAATGAACTGCTCATCTACTTTCAATACTAAAACCCAAATGACTAAAAGGGAAGGTTGTGATAAGCATGTAAAAATTTATGATTAATGAAGAATTATGGGAGGAATTTGAAACCAAATGGCTATTAGGTTCGTAGGGTTGAATTACGAGTAGTATTAAAATTTTTAATTATGGTACGTAGGTTGTTTATAAATTTTTTGGATTATATTACTTTTTACTTTGCTTATGTAACTATATTAGTACGTTGGATCGACAGTGAATTTGTTTGACCATGAGTGAGTGTGACTCCCAAACCTTTGTAACGACTCATGTCTAGGATTTGACATGGTCACGTTGCCTACTCTTTGTTTCTAAGAGTGAAAGCTATTCCCACGAACTAACTCGAGTTCTTCCTGCATGTTTTTTTCCTTGCTCACATGCGTCCTAGAAAAATTCTCCACAGGTTACGTGCATCATAGAATTGCTCCAAGCAAAACATACCTAACCGTGAAGTTCTTATAATTGTGCTGTCGAAAAGGAAAATGAACCTTATTGGTATATGGAGTGACTATCCATGTTCTAAAGTATTTCTTAGCTATCATATCCTCACGATCCCTCTCGTTTGGAAGTGGTTTCGATTCATTCATGTACCCCTCATTTGCTCGGGTGTCACATACCTACCAACTTTCACATTAGTTCGTTTTCAAACCACATCTTACTGGGAGAGATACTGCTCTAATACAATTTGTATCGTCTCATGTCCAAGATTCAGAGCCATCAGGTATCGAATCTGGATTACAAATCTTGATCTATCCTAGACATGACGCGTTACAATTTTGGTCGACCCTAAAAGCTTGATCAAACAGTTTAGAATGATCCACTAATCCAAAACCAATTCGGTGTAATGGGTCGTCCCTTCAAAAGTTTCCCTGAGTTTAACGACGTGACTTTTTAAACTTCACATTAACCCGCCATCAATTCGAAAGAAGAGAATTTGTTTGAAAAAAGAAGGCCAGATGGCCAATTTATTTTTATTAGTGGGGACATAAAATTATAGACTTTCATTTTTTCTCCTTCCACACAATCAAATTCAAAAGGTGACATTTTCCAAGCGAGGGCATCGAGGCTCATAATATAAGTTCTTACCAAACTACTCATCGAATAGCCAAACTACACGTCGAATTGTTTACGGTAAAAAAGACAAAGCAATCTTAATTTATTTATTATATGCTTTGGACCTTCTAAATATGCGACATCAAAATTCAACGTTTAGAATATTCTACTCTCTCCCCTAGAATATATATATGTATATATATATTAGCTTGTGCTAGTCTCGTTTAAATCTTTTTTTAACTATGCAATTGGAGACGGACAACCATAATCTAAATAAATAAATTAATAAATGCATAGTATTGTATGAAAAGTGTATAAATAAAATATTTTCAATAATTTGATAGGTTAACTATTTTATTTTTATTAATTTAGATTATTAAAATAATTTTATGCATTTGTGAATTATTAGGTGGAAAAATGTCTCCAACTCAAAAAAAATGTAGTGGGGGTATTATATAAGAACTTATCATAAACGTAGTTAGCTACTATTTTAACTTTTAATTTGAGACAGGAATAAGCTTCGAGTTTTACTTAAGAAAAAGGGGCCATAATGTTAAAATATTGGTTCTGTGGGCAAGATATGTATGAACGTTGCTAGCTTTGTTAGAAAAATTTGCTTATTACTCAACAAATTATCAAAGGTGGAAACACAATTTATTAACAAAGCAACTGAATTAAGAAAAATGGAAGGAGTTTCACGGTTACATGGATCTTTGATCTTTTGAACAAATTTCAACCTATTAATGAGATATATAAGCAACCTTTGGGCTATGCTTCTCTCACCCCGATTCATAAAAGAGAAGAAAAAATGGGAAGAACTTTTCAAGTTGTTCTTTTTCTAGCATTGTTTGTGCTTCTACCTCCTTCTGTTTATTCTTTACCGTTGTCAACAAACGGAAGGTGGATCGTTGATTCGACAACAGGGCGTCGAGTGAAGCTTGTGTGCGTGAATTGGCCTTCCCACACACAGAGCATGCTAATAGAAGGTCTCAACCACAGGCCATTAAAAGAGCTGGCAGATGAGGCAATCAAGTTGAGGTTTAATTGTGTACGACTCACGTATGCAACTCAAATGTTCACTCGTTATGCAAATAGGACAGTTGAAGAGAATTTTGACCTTCTCGATTTAGAGCAAGCAAAAGCCGGATTGGCTCAATATAATCCTTTTGTGTTGAACAAGACTATTGCTGAAGCCTATGAAGCTGTTGTTGATGTGCTTGGAGAGAGTGGTTTAATGGTGATTGCCGACAACCATATGAGTCAGCCAAGATGGTGTTGCTCCCTTGACGATGGCAATGGATTTTTTGGAGACCGCTATTTTGACCCTCAAGAATGGCTACAAGGTCTTAGCTTAGTTGCTCAACGCTTTTCCAAGAAACCAACGGTACGTAAAAATTAAGGAAAATTCTCACACTCTTGAAACTAAACTCAAACATTTAAAGACTTCTATAATTTTTCACTAACAAAAGAACATTCTTTTGTTATGACATTTAGGTGGTTGGAATGAGCCTACGAAACGAGATACGAGGAACCAATGAAAATGCAAATGATTGGAACAATTATGTTACTCAAGGAGTAACAACAATCCACAACATTAACCCAAATGTTTTAGTGATTGTTTCGGGCCTAAATTTTGATAATGATCTTCGATGCTTAAAAGAGAAGCCCTTGAATGCAAGCGCCTTAGACAACAAGTTGGTTTTTGAGGTGCACTTGTATTCGTTCAGTGGAGATGCAGAGAGTAAATTTATAAACCAGCCACTAAATAATATTTGTGCAGATATTATCAATGGCTTTGTAGACCATGCTGAATTTGTTAGAGAAGGACCAAACCCATTTCCTTTGTTTGTCAGCGAATATGGGTACGATCAGAGAGAGGTTAACGATGCAGAAAATCGGTTCATGAGTTGCTTCACAGCTCATCTTGCACAAGAAGATTTAGATTGGGCATTATGGACTTGGCAAGGTAGCTATTATTATAGGGAAGGTCAGGCAGGCCCGGCAGAAACTTTTGGAGCTCTCGACTCCAATTGGACTCAAATTAAAAATCCAAACTTTGTCCAGAAGTTTCAACTATTGCAGACTATGTTGCAAGGTAAGTATAAATATATTAACGATTTTGAATATATGGATCTATAACAAGTG